TCTCCTACTTGGGGTAGAATGGGGAAGCTCTGGATTGGGAAAAAACAAACATTCATAAAAATGAAAGAGTCTGTCCCCCAGGGAGGAGGACATATGTAGATCCTTGTAATCGGTTCCCCCTCTCTACTCCACTGACAGACAACAGAAAAGTGGGTGAAGGGAGACATCAGACAGTGTAAGACATGACAAAATAATAATTTATATGTTATCAAGGGTTCATGAGGGAGGGGGGTGCAGGAGGGAGGGGGGAAAATGAGGAGCCAGGGCCTTACGTGGAGAGCAAATGTTCTGAGAATGATGAAGGTAACGAATGTGCAAATACAATTGATGTATGTATGGATTAAGATAAGAGTTGTATGAGCCCCCAATAAAATGATTTAAAAAAAAGAAAAGAAAGAGTCAAGTTTTACCAGAATGCTTCTCTAGGTAACTTAGGGTAAGTTATCACAACTACAAAGAAAATTTGTGAAACAAAAGTTTGTATGTTTGCTTGTATGACATAGTATTGGTTATTTAGTACTTCTTGTATAGCTGAAACCTAAGTAGCTAGAATTGAAAATGCTGCCTTCCCCCACAAGAGATTTTTTATAATATTTTACCAGGATGAATTTTATTCCGAAAGTCATATTACTTTAAAACAACAGTCTCATTTATAGGAATGTCACTCTCTATGTGTTGTTACATATTTTAAAACTAAAGTAAAAATATTTAATACTCTAGAAAGATATGCATTTTAAATACATTATTCAGTTTCAAAGTAATAGTCTACTATTCATATACAAGCATAATCTATAACACAACAGAGAAGACTTTGATAACAACACGATAGCAACATGTTAAACCCAGACACAGTATTTTAATTTCTTTTCATGTAATAAAATCCAAACTATACTTATCTTCATAATTACTTAATGATTAGTAAACTCATCTGAAGCATATGCAGTCTTTTAAAACTGAATGTACCTGATCAAATCGTAGAAAGGGTTCACTTGCATTATCAAAACTATACACTTCCACTGTTCCATCATCTCTCCCGACAAGTAAATCTTTCACCCCATCTCCTACGATGTCAAAGCTATCAACACATAAAATACCTTTAAAAAAAGAAAAGTATTATTATTAGAAAAACAAATAAAAACATCAAGTTTACCAAGTAAAAATGAAAAAATGTATACAGCAAATAACAGCGGAAAGGAAAACAAAACCCTTTTGAGCATTTCCATCCACCTTTATCTATTTCAAAGACTGTAAATATAATCTATATGATCATGGTCCCTAAATTTAAATCTCTAGCTCTGGCATCTCTCCAGAGCTCCAGAGTCATATGAGGCTAAGTCAAAAAATATTTCTACCAGAGTTCCAGTTTATATACTCATGAGGTTTGCTCTCACCAAAACATGTTAAAACATATCTCTGAGATCAATGGATGGCTACATTTCTCTTAGTCTCATTTGGACCCCTTCAAAATAAAGGATACTTTTTGTTCCAAGAAAAAAATGACTCTGAGGTCAGGACTTATTATAAAGTTTTTAACAAATGACAAGTAAACATTTTCCTAAATCACTGAAATTTTCCAACAAGTTTATGGAAAGTGTGCTCCACATAAAATGATCTTTTTAAATAGATTAAGTGTTTTTAAAAAAAGCTGGGAAACTTCAAAATAACAAGGCATAAAGGTCAGCTCACAAAAGTTATGGTGACTATTTTGGGGGATTACAACGGGGTAGTCTTGATAGATTTTGTCAAAGGGCACAGGTAAATCAGGAGGGTTTATCAGGTATAAGTTTTAAGAAAATCAGTTGCATTGCTCATGTTTGTAGGCTAGAAAGGGCTGGCCTAAGAGAATTTCATGGGAAACCTGAACCTACCCATCTGATTTTACCCCTTCAGACTTTTCTTTCCCAAACTCGAAGAACATTTATAAGGAACATGATTTGAGTCCCTCACAAGATGCCAAGAACTGCCACCAGTTTGATATAGTATAAATAGAAGAGTACAGATTCTTGGGGGGAGGGTACTCACTCACTCACTCACTCAATCGAATCGATTCTGAACCTTAAAGCAACCTTATAGGACAGGGCAAAACTGTCTTGTGGGTTTCCAAGACTGTAACTGTTTAAAGTAATAGAAAGCCTCCCCTTTCTCCTGAGGAACAGCTGGTGGTTTTGAACTGTTCTTGAGATTTAGCAGCCCAACTCGTAACCACTATGCCAACAGGGATCCAAAGCAGGGGATTAGAGGGGCAGAAATATAACATTCCAAAGTGTATAGGCAGCATCTTCACATTTGACATCTTTGTACAGCGAAGGTTACTGTGATTGATAGCGCTTGTCTGTCAGCTTGCTGTACTGCAGGGCGTGTCTGTTGTTCTGATGCTGGAAGCTGTGTCACTGGTATGCTAAGTATCAGAGGGGTCACTCAAAGTGAACAGGTTTCAGCAGAGCTTCCAGGCTACGAACAGGCTGTGAAGAAGGAATAGGCTGTCCGCTTCTGAGAAATTGCTGCTGAAAACCTTATGGCCAGCATCAAAACATTCTCAATACTGAAAGCCTCATAAACAGAAGCGGAGCATTGTCAAAGATGGTGACAGAGATGAGCCACTTATTTTTTTATCCTCCGTCTCCCCTAACACATTTGTTGAAAAAGAAGAATTAATGAATAAAGATCATGAACATATAGCCATCTCATCACCCACCAGATTATAGTCCATCAACATGGCCCTCCTGGCCATAATTCCTTATGTGACATGCCATAATTCTGGACTCCATAGGTCTGTGGGGCAGTCCCATTGTGGAGGGTATTCTCTACATACTAGACATTGTGGGCTTCTGGCTCTGGACCCTGCACTTGAGTCGTCTCTTCCTGACCCTAGATATGGGACTGCATGGCATCCACCATGTGAGCCATTTTCTCCAAGTTTAGTGAGTTTCTGTGAAACACTGCAGTGAACCAAGGGATTAATGGGGATCTAGCAAAGGAAGGATGATAGCCCATTGGAAGAGTAGGACATTTGGGACATCTTTAATCTCTGACTCTTTAGGACTAGTCTGAGATCAATTCTTCAAAAAAAAAGTATTACCATATCATGTCAAGTATGTTTCTTCTAGAAATATATTCCTTAAAAAATAGCAATATGCACTCAATGACAACACTTCTTCCTTCCTTCATACAAATACTCCCAGATTATAGTTAATTCCCGACCCCAGCAATTCAAAATGGATTTTAGTATAGAATGTTGACACAGATAGACATTGGCCCATAAAAGCCTATCTCAAACAAAACGATTATGGTAATAGTATGACAAACCAATTAAGAGTAGGCAAATAGAAAGAGGCTCTCTGAGTGGTTAACATCTGTTATCTGTATAATATAAACTAAAATGTAAGATATAGTCTGAATGTCCTACTTAATAGTTACTGAAATTTCATAATTGAACTGTACCATAAACATACCTCCCCTCTGTTTTTCATTTCGAATTTCCCACTTATGGATTGGATTAGACGTAGTGATCTGAATAAGCCCAAGTCTCCCATCTGATGTTCCAAACAAAAGGTCTTCCCCAGAATCACCTAAGATATAATTCAAGGCAGCATATTACATTTCTTCCGCAAACTCATACCTTTTAAATTGAAATATTTTCACACACAATTTTCCTAAGGTAAAAAAGCTGGTAAAATTTAGGGAGATGGCTATATATGCACTGAATTTTATAACCATAAGAGACAAATCTCTCCATCATCTAATTTTTTAAGATAAACTGAAATTTACAATTCAACAACTTATTACTTTAACGTACTGGCAAAATACTAGAAGATAATTGTCTCAACTGAATTTCATTTTCTTTCTGAAATTTTCCAATTTTACTCATGTTTTTCATAAACACAGGTTTTTACAAATCTAACATACTCAGATTTAAATAGCATTACCGCCATTTCCATTGTGCAGTGCTAAAACAGTAGGTGGTCCAGGGACTTCAACTTCATATCTGAGATTAGATCCCTGAAGAAGAAGTATTTTAAAACTGAAACAGAGTACCATTTTCTAACAATCACAATACAATTGTCCCTCAGTATGAGAGGGGAGAGACACTGAAACCTGAAGGTGCTCAAGGGCTATATGTAAAATGGCATAGTACTCTTCTCACTACTTTATCTCTGCATCACCTGTAATGCCTCACATAAGGTCCATGGTATGTAAATAGCACTTTCTACTCCTCTTAGCCTTTGAGGAATTGCTTTGATCAGTTAATTTCGTCCTCCTGCTATTCTCCCACCCTCACCGTCCAAGCCCACCCCACAGTATTTCTGACCAGCAATCAAATGGGCCACTAGAACCACAGGCGTGGAGGCCACTGGAAATCAGTACAGATTTAACTTGCACTGAGAAGGAAGTCTAAGTCAGTTTTATGTCTGGAAACATTGGTAATACCTATATTCAAATAAATTATACTAATATAAATGTTCCAAATTATATTGTGAAATATCAACATACATTATTGTTGCTAGCTACAACTGCCTAAATTTCTGGTTCAATTACCCCACCTATTACATGTTATTTACATTTAAATGTTATTTTAATAGTCTTGTATAGTGTGTGTGTATCTTTTTTTTAAAAATCATTTTACTGGGGACTCATACAGCTCTTATCACAAGCCATACATACATCCATTGTGTCAAGCACATTTGTACATATGTTGCCATCATCATTTTCAAAACATTTTCTACTTGAGCCTTTGGTAACAGCTCATTTTCCCCCTCCCCCACATGAATCCTTGATCATTTATAAATTATTATTATTTGGTTCTGTTGTCTGTCCCGCTGGGAGGGGTTTATATATAGATCATTGTGTACGGTTCCCCCTTTATACCCCCCACCTTCCCCTTCCCCTCTTGGTATCACTACTCTCATTATTGGTCCTGAAAGGTTTATCTGTCCTGGATTCCCTGTGTTTCCAGCTCTTATCTGTACCAGTGTACATGCTCTGGTCTAGCTGGATTTGTGAGGTAGAATTTGGGTCATGATAGTCGGGGGGCGGGTGGAGGGAGCATTAAATAACTAGAAGAAAGATGTATGTTTCATAAGTACTATACTGCATCCTGACTGGTTGGACTCTTCCTTGTGACCCTTCTGTAAGGGGTTGCCCAATTGTCTACAGATGGGTTTTGGGTCTCCACTCTGCACTCCCCCTCATTCACATGATATGAATTTTTGCTCTGGGTCTTTGATGCCTGATATCTGATCCCTCTGATACCTCGTGATCACACAGGCTGGTGTGCTTCTTCCATGTGGGCTTTTTGCTTCTCAGCCTTTAAGACTCCAGATGCTGTATCTTTTAATAGCCAGGCACCATCAGCTTTCTTCACCACATTTGCTTATGTACCCATTTGTCTTCAGCCATCGTGTCAGGAAGGTGAGAATCTCAGAAAGCCAGTTATTAGAACAAAGTGTTCTTGCATTGAGGGAGTACTTGAGTGGAGGCCCAATGTCCACCTTAATACTTAACATATAAATATATGCACATAGATGTTTCCCTATTGTGTGTATCTTGTATTAAATGTCACTGTCAAATAGGAGTGGTAGTAATTACCATAATCATTACTAGTAATAAAAAAAGACTTTAAGCACTTACTTTAGCCAATAATGGCTTTTAACAGAAATGTAGGGACACTAAAATAATTGTTCTCCCAATTAGTTATTTATCCAATAAATATCTGTGAACTACCTACTTTCCCAGGAATACTAGATAAATTAAAATTTTTATCATCCTGATCTCAACTGTTCCTTGTTAAAGTCGAACACCCTCTCTCCAAGTTACTGTTCTCTTTTAATTTGATGGGAGAGGGGAGTGATGGAGGAAGCAGACAAACAATGTAAAGCTGGGATGGGGAGGATCTTTCGAGAAAAGCCATACACTCCATTCTGATAGTTACTCGTTCAGAAATAGTGGGTGGTGAGGGAAAGGTATCCTTTTTCTCCTACATATGCCCCTCTGAAAACTGGCCACAGACAGCAGCAAAAAAGACTGCAGCATCGAGAACAAAAGCAAGTCAGTTATCAAATAAACTATTTTCTAAATCTTCAGATATTTTTTTCTGTTAGGTAGCTGAATTAGTACTAACTATTGCAATAAATTGTTCGTCAGTGTTCATTTACCAAAATTATGAAAATGCAAATAAGAAGTAACCTGTAAAACTCTGAGTACTCTATCTTGGCAGGCCAGTATCGGTGTAATAAGAGGTGATCTTTCCACTGGAAGGCAGATGATGTCATTGATTTTGTCCCCCGAAAGGTAATAATGTTGGTCTTTGCAGTCACAATAATGGTTATAAATGTAATTTGCACTGAGAAAGAGGTCTGAGCCAGATATGTGCCTGAAAAAAATTAAAATAGAAATTAAAAAAAAATCATTTTATTAGGGGCTCATACAACTCTTATCACAATCCATACATACATCAATTGTGTAAAGCGCATTTGTACATTCATTGCCCTCATCATTCTCAAAACATTTCGTCTCCACTTAAACCCCTGGCATTAGGTCCTCATTTTTCCCCTCCCTCCCCACTCCCCCCTCCCTCATGAGCTCTTGATAATTTATAAATTGTTATTTTGTCATATCTTGCCCTGTCCAACGTCTCCTTTCACCACTTTTCTGTTGTCCGTTCCCCAGGGAGGAGGTCACATATAGTTCCTTGTAATCGGTTCCCTCTTTCCTACCCACTCTCCCTCTATCCTCCCAGTATCGCCACTCACACCACTGGTCCTGTAGGGCTCATCTGCCCTGGATTCCCTGTATAAAATAGAAATTTAAGAGCACCAAATTTCTAAAATAAGCAGATATCATCCTGAATTTTTTCAGAGATGAAACAGAAGTTTATAAAGTATACCATTATTTTATCAAAAACTTAGAGAAAGGAATTTAAAAGCAATTCCCGCTGCTAAATTTCTAGCCTTTTTAGCTCTTTTGATTTTGAAAGGTAAAAATGAGGCATGTTAAGGTCTCAGGCTCCTCAGTAAAAAAATGAATTTAGAAAAGCTGGAAATGAAAATACAGATGACCATTTAACTTTGTGAAGACAATTTGAATGTGTACAATGTGTAAACACTGTCTTAAGTGATTTACAGATATTGGCTCATTTAACCATCAGACTATCAACAACCACCACCTTATGAATAGGGACCATTAAAAAGCCTTTTTACAGTTGAGTAATACAATGTTAAGAAGCCTGACTAATAGCTTAATAACACAAAGCTGGTAAATTGAAATGCAAGATAGTTGATTTCTAAAGTTACCTTTCTTAATGCAACATTAAATTGCCTATAAAATTTGATTTGCAGTAGATTTACTTTAAATAGTTAACAGTGGGGAAAAGGTTTCATTACTTGATAAAAATGAAATGAAAATAAAATGATATGAAATTTAACATTTAAACAAAAATTACAACTATGTTCCAATTCTTGAATTGAAGCAACTTTTCATCTGGAAGAAACAGAATAAAAATTAAATACATGTGTAATAAATCTTTCATCACATGGTCACAAAGATAGCCATTTTACTTGGAAGCTTCATTAATTTCTCTATCTCCATGAACTCTTAAACAATTTTTTATGCTAAAAGTATTTCAAACATCAGGATGCCTAGATGGGAAACATATTTCACACAGAACTATACCTGTTGACCTAATTTATATCTTATCAGTTGTCACGAACATTGACGGCCAGCCAAAGTGTAGCTAGCATAAAACCAGAACTACCAGAAGCAACTAAGAATGACAAATTAAACTGAGATTTCATTGTTTACTTTTTGCCTTGATCCTGAACCATAAACAGAACCAAGAAGTCAAAAATGAATGCATAAATATTACAAAGGTCTTACAAAGAAAATAATTTCAACAATCAATTAAGTTTGGGTTGATTTCAAATAAAATTTGACCCATAAAGCGCCTTTAAACCCATTGCTATTGAGTCAATTACAACTCAGTAACCCTACATAACAGAGCCAAGCATCCCTTCCTTAGTTTTCCAAGGTGGTATAATGTTTAGAGAAGCAATCGGCCACATCTTTCTCCCATAGAGCAGCTGGTATTCAACCATCAACCTTTCAGTTAACAACAGAGTACTTTAAACACTGTGCCACAAGGGATCCCTAAGTACTTTTATTCAGCATTTATCTCAGAAAACTTTTTAAGATACTTTATCAAATGTTCTACATCTACTCCAACCTATTATTGTCAAGTTAATTTCAATTGATAACCCCCCACCCTGCCCCCCATAAGACAGAGTAATGTGGTCCCAGAGGGTTTCCAAGGCTGAAGTTTTTAAGGTCTGGTGGCGCTGTTGGGTATGTCTTGGACTGCTAACTGCAAGGCTCACAGTTCAAAACCCCAAGCTGCTCCTTGGGAGAAAAATATAGCTATCTGCCCAAATAAAGATCTATAGCCTCAGAAATCCTATGTAAGGTTGCTGAGTTGGAATTGACTCAGTGGCACAAAGTGTGTGTGTGTGTGTGTGTGTGTGCGTGTTTTATTTTTAGTAAGTTTATGGAAAAGGACTTCCACATTGTTCTCCCATGGAACAGACAGCTCAGTTAGTAGCCCAGCACTTTAAACACTATACAACTATCCAACAGATTAAAAAAGAAAACGATAAACATACATAGCTTTAATGCTTTCAGTGAGGTTTGTTTCAAAGGACAGGAACTGTTTCCCTCTCTTTGTGAAGCCTCTAATCTCAGATCCTGCAGCAATAAAAATTTTTTCCTGAGGTGTGTTGAGAACCCCTCCTAGCTCCAGCCTTGCAATCTTCTGTCCAGGTAGAGTCTTAAAGACTGCCTGCAAAAATAATTAGGGGATAAATTATTAGGTCTATATATTGTTTTATTGTAAGCATTTCCTTTTATCATAAAAACACTATGATTTTTAAACTTACAAAATGTGCTGTATACATTATAAGCAAATATTTTAGATAAAAATTTATTTAAGTAATGTTTGGAATATTTATTCTTACACATATTTCAATGGTATCATTACGTTCTAAACTCTTGTAACTCAAAGTAGGGCTCCCTATGATGCATTGACATCATTTTTGTTAAATCATCACATTTGCTAAAAGTAGAATTCAGAACCAACTCCAAATCTACTGAAACGAGAAGTAACAAGATTCCTCAGGTGATTTCAATACACATTAAAGTTTGAGAGGCAATGTTTTTTTAAGTAATAGTCCTATCTACAAGAAAGTTCAATGAACTAATTCATTAATTAGGTTCACGATCCTAATAGTGGCTTTGTTACAACTTTTATAAATTTTACATCGGTTTTCTTTTTCTTCCCTTTATTCTTCCTGTACAAATGACTATATACTTTATTCTTCCTATACAAATGACTATATATATGGATTTATGTTAAAATTGAAAACACTGAGGTTTTTTTAATATCATAGTATATATATGGTAATTATCATAAGTGTTCACATCTAGAACCTACTGTGTATACTCGTGTATAAGCCGAGTTTTTCAGCACATTTTTTTTAAATCATTTTATTGGGAACTCGTAAAACTCTTATCACAATCCATACATCCATCCATTGTGTCAAGCACATTTGTACATATGTTGCCATCATTGTTTTCAAAGCATTTTCTTTCTACTTGAGCCCTTGTTATCAGCTCTTCATTTTTTTTTTTCTCTTTTTTAACATTTTATTAGGGGCTCATACAACTGTTATCCCAATCCATACACACATCAATTGTGTAAAGCGCATTTGTACATCGTTTCTCAAAACATTTTCTCTCCACTTAAACCCCCGACATTAGGTCCTCATTTTTCCCCTCCCTCCCCGTTTAATGCAGTTTTTGTGGTAAAATTAGGTGCATCTGCTGGTATTCGTGTTGACTTCTACTCAAGTACATACGGTATTTGTGGGTTAGGATCTGTGAATCTGATGGGATAGTCATGCCCATGGTTACGTTACATAAGAGCAGTGTTGAAAGATTGAAAAGAAAGATTTTTCAGCCGTCTTGGAAGAAATATGCAGAAAGAAGGTCTGTGAAAAGACTTTATGGCAAAAAAAAAAAAAAAGAAAAGACTTTATGGCAAGGAAGTGCACAGGGCTTAAGGCGCTAAGAGCAGCCCCATCTGAGAGACAGCAAGAAAAAAGATCATTAGTCTCACAATGGCATGGAAGTGAACTATATCAAACCACAGAAGCTTGGAACAGGCTCTCAAGCTCCAGAAGCCAACTTCTACACTGTGGAAGGTGAGCAGGGGATATACATGCACACTAATCCGTGCCTACACCCATAACCCACAGCATTCTTACGATAAAACTTGTAAATACATTTTGCTTTAAAGCCATTATTAACTGTGAGGTCAATTGTTATATAGCATAGAAAACAAATGTCACCACAAACTGCCAAAGTTTCCAATAGTCACACATGACTTTTGCATTACATGCTGCGTCAAATAACTTCCCTCAAGATCCACTTTCAATTGTATATATTTCAAGAAGTTTTTAACCTAAGATTATTTAATAAGTAGTATATTTTTCCTTCAAAAAAAGAATTCTCTCTCTGAAGAATATACTTACCACTGCTCCTCCTTTCTTGACTCCAAAACACATAACAACCCCATCCTGATCACCAATAACCACCTGTAATAGATTGAAGAGATATACAATTATTATTATTGTACTCTATTAATTGGATACGGAGAAAATAAGATTGTCAATATATAAACTATAACTTAAAAAGCAGAGATAAGGTATCTATGAAATATACGGTATGTATTTGCTCAACTAAAATTTCAATTACTCTTAAAAACAGTGATTCTCAACCTGAGTCACGACCCCTTTGAGGGTCAAACGACCCTTTCACAGGGGTTGCCCAATTCATACCAGTAGCAAAATGACAGTGATGAAGTAGCAACAAAAATAATTTTATGGTTGGGGGGGTCACCACAACATGAGGAACTGTATTAAAGGGTCATGGTATTAGGAAAGTTGAGAACCACTGCTTAAAAATAAAGAAAGGCTTATGAATCATTTTCTCGATAGCCTATTGTTTGTTTCCTTTTACATATACACAATTTTGTACACACAGGATTTATGCTAGTTATTTGGACAAAACAGAATATGGCTTTCTTAGTTAATACATTAATATATAAATATGACATGATATAAAATTAACCAATAATTATAAAGCACAAGAAAATCATCTGTAGTGTCCCTTGGTATTCCAGGCTCCATTCAAATAAAAATAAATTCACTTCCAATTTAATATTATAATTTTTAAAAGAATAATATAGTGGTAGTTACATAATTTGGTGTCAACTTGTAAATGGGTGGGTCTAGCCTATCAATCAGGTCGCAGCTTGATGACCTCATTTGGAGGTGCTATGGAGATAAATAGCTCACGGGAGATGGGACACACAAGACACTCTCTGCTTTGTCTTCTTGCTGACAAGATATAGGTAGCTAAGCTAGCACCCGGGAGCTGGCAGAAGCACATAGAGATCCCTGCCAGCACTGAGATGCTTCCACTGCCACAGGATTCACAAGACTTTCCACCCACTGGCTTGTGATCTTCTTGGCATCATTGCATGTTTTGCCTGAGTCTGAAGAGGAATTTATAGATTGGTAATGGATATATGGGCTAGTATCGGACTTGTGGACTTGATCTGGACTCTTTGATATAAAGTTCTCTCTTACACATCGAGTGTTTCTGGATTTGTTTCTCTTGTCTACCCGTACTAACACATATACCTATTATGAAAGAAATAAAAACCTACCTCTGTAAGCAGTACCTATACAGTACCTTTTGTGTAGCTCTATGTTTTGAGGAAGGAAGTAGCTTCATAGTCTTCTGAGAGGTCACACCAACCTAAGAAATCACACCAGCACTTAATGTCTTCTAACAAACTGTAATTTGAAGTTATTACATCAGATAAAGGAAAAACGGCAGTTTCCTATCATAAGGAGCCATATTTTTGTGTAATTAACTATTGATATAATAATTACCATCCAAGATAAGTTTATTTTCTAATGAAATACAGTAATATCTTGGTTATTGAACTCAATTCGTTCCAAATTCAAGTTTGAGAACTGAACATATTTTTCCTATAAGAAATAAAGGAGAACCAAATACTAATTGGATTTGAAGCCCAAGCACTATACTTATACATTCACTACGGAGGCGTTTTGCCTTCTTGAAAATCACTGTCTTGGACACTTTACCACAATTAAGTTGTTTCTGATTTTTCCAAATTAATAGTAACTTTTCAACCTCTTCAGTAAGTAGTCTGGCTTGTTTTCTCGTTAACGATTTCACACCTTTCACTACATAAGTCACTTCAATCTTTTTTTTTTTTTCCCCAAAAATGTTGACACTCTTGACTTAGGCCTGTTGTATTTAGCCCCCAAATCAGGCAGCAACCTGATTCAAATGATTTTTCTCTTTACCCCTACTGTTTGTTTTCCTCTTAGCTTTACTGTTGGTATCACTAACTTTCTTTATAACAATAGTTACCATATTTTATGCAAATAAAGGGGGTAAAAGCACAATGATGAATATTTTCACACACTAACACAAGCACTGTATGTGGTCTGAGCAAGAACAGGGCTTAGACTGAAGGACCTTTGTGTCCAAGACTAACTCTCAAGCTTAGCCTATACAAATTTTTTCAAGTTGTATTTTCAGTTCGACTATGAAGCAAAATTACGAACAACAAACAGATTTTTTTAGAACTTTGCTATTGGAGTGGTGGAAAGTTTGAGCTTTGCGCCATTCAACAACTGAGATATCACTGTATATCATAAAAGTACAAATATTGAAAACAACCAAAAAGAGTAGATTTTATCCTATAATACTGTCAAACCAATGATATTGGTAACATTACTGGTAGGGTACTTCACATTAAAAAAACCACAAAAACAAAAAAACTTCTAGAAGCCTTCTTTTACAATCCTACTCTACTTGTTATAAAGCAATTAAAATGCTTCAAAAATTGATTATAATTTTATTAAGATGCAATGAAAGTTTAGCTAAAACATCAAACATGCTGATAGTGTAACATCCTATTTAAATAATGGTAAAGATTGTTTTACATAAGGGAGAAAGGATGAAAAAAATGCCTAGCTTGTTTAGCAAGGCACTGGCATTAGTGGGATATAGTTAGGTTGAGACTGAGTACTAAAAGGAGAGAAGTAGGAAAAATCCTGTCTATGATCATGAAAGACACAACCCACTGCCATCGAGTTGATTCCAACTCATAACAGGGTTTCTAAGACTGTAAATCTTTCTTTTTAAATTCATTTTATTGGGGAGTCAAACAACTCTTCTAACAATGCATACATAGTGTCGAGCACTTTTGTACATTTGTTGCCATCATCCTTTTCACAACATTTTCTTTCTACTTGAGCCCTTGGTATCAGCTATTGTTTTCCTCCCACCCTCATGGACAATAAATGTTTATGGGCCCAACCTCATCTTCCTCCAGCAAGCAGACCTGCCTGCTGGGTTTGAGCCACTGACCTTGCACTTAGTGGCCCAACACCCTTGCCAGTGGTATAAATCCATGATGTATCATTGGGTTTAAAGTAGAAATCTGCTTAGATTTAATTTTTTTATTATAAACCTAGCAAATTGTGAACAATGGCTTGGAGAATGTGAAATTGGAGGTCAGGAGCCCACTTGGCAGGCTATTTATTATCCAAGCAAGAGGAGAACCTGTGGGCTTGTAATGACATGGAGGGAATGAGACAAATTGGAGAAATATTTCAGAAGCAAAAGGAGCTATTTGGATGTGGAAGATATTAAGGGCGGAGTACTTAGCATGACTCCCGAATTTCTAGTTTGAGGGAAACGGACTTGGCAAACATTTGTACTATGAACCTAATTAGAATGACTGGAAACAGAGAAGACTAGGAAGAAGGAAAAATATGAACAACAATTCTGTATTAGTTTTTTCAGAAGGCTGAAAAAACTTATGAGACCTACTGTAGTGCAAGAGGGAAAAAAAAGTTAGCTGTGTAATAACTTTTTCAGATAGTGACTCCATCAATTTTAGCTACTGAGCAAATTATAGGAGCCCTGGTGGCACACAGTTAAAGTGCTCCCTAAGGGAAGTTGGTTGACACCCACTAGCCACTTCTAGAAAGATGAGGCAGTTGCTCCCCTGGGGGCTTTCCAGCCTGGAAAGCCTAGGAGGCAATTCTAATCTATCTTTCAAGGTCACTGTGAAGAGGGGGTGGTTTTTGTTGTCTGTTTTTAAGCCCACTGCTTAACAATGAGGGTCCCTGATCTGTCAAATGACCTACTTTGCAGAAATTTTCAAGAGGATGAAATATTATGGTCGTTACACCCTTAGAACCAACTCCATCATGAGTTGCCAAGCTAGTACGATGATCTGGCCCGGGCCGGGGGTGGCAGGCTCAAACAGAAACGAGGGTCTGGCGGTGGGGCGGAGGAGCACCCCGGGCCCCAGGCCCCCCCAGGCCAGTTCCAGCGCCCTCCTTCTTCCCAAGCCCCGGGGACTGTCACGCAGGAGCTGGACCTGCCCCTCCCCGCGAGAAGGACCACTCGAGGGCGCTGAGCAGCCGAGTTCCTTCGGCCCCACGCCCGGCCCGCACTCGGGGACCCCGGACAACGTCTGTGGAAAAACGAACGCTCTCGGGACGCGGGGTTCACCCCGCGCGGCGCGCGGCCCGCCCCTCCCCGCGTCTTCACCTGTAAATAATCCGCTCGGTTTAAAATCAGATCCATGACGGCGGCACTAACACGCCGGGCAGTGGCCGGCCAGGGGAGGAGCAGAGGGTGCTGCCGGCCCGCGGGCGTCGGGCCCCCAAAGGCAGGCGGCCGCGAGCCCTCCGTGGGGAAATCAAAGCTACCACCGGCCTCGAGAGGGGATGCTGAGGTGGGGCGTCGGAGTAGCGGCGTCCAGCGTGACGTCAGCACGTTCCTGCGAACGCCTCCAGGACGAAGGACGTCGGA